CAATATTGGGTAGCCCCAGGGTTGCTTCCACTCACTTCGCTATAAAAATATGTTTTTCAAAATTATGATATCATTAGATATTATAATGATAACTAGTACTTGTAAGTTACAAGAAAAGGTTGTAAACTAGGTCATTGACACATAAAACCTGTCATCATTGCTTTCAGTGAGTCACAAACAGCGATTTCAAGATTCGTGAGTGCTCACTCAGAGTGAGCACTCACGAGTTATAAGTTCGCTGATTATGACGCACTGAAAGCGAAATTGACAGATTTTATGAGTCAAATACATACTTTCCAACCTCTTCTTCTATCTGACAAGAACAAAATATCATTATTGCATCTAATGATTCCATTATTTCGAAAAAAACATTTTTTTTTATAGCGAAGTGAGTGGAAGTAACCCTGGGTAGCCCTACTTCTAATGGAAATGAGTACACAGAAATGAAAAATAACCCAAATTAGAGTTCTTTTGACTCAACCTCGAAGTTCCGTACGGGTAGCTCATTTTGGGTAAACATGAAAAAACCTAATTTTGGGTAAATTATCGAAAAGACTACAGTGGGTAAATTTGATCAATAAGGAAAATCCTAATTTTGGGTAAATTTAACTTAACGATAGGTTATTTTACCGGACACTTTTTCAGAATAAAAAAAAACCTAGCGTTGGGTCAGATTAACTCAACCATGAGTTATTTTACCGGGATTTATTTTCTAATAAGTAACCTATTTTTGAGTAAAATTAACCCAACGGTACGTTATTTTACCGGGCACTTTTTCCTGCAAAACAAATTATTAAAGAAAAGGGACGCTTGCAGTATAACGAGCACGTTATTATTCCTAATGTTAAAAATCAAAAACAATAAAATCCGTGAAGACAATAAAAAATTTATTATAATTTATTTTTCAACAAACGATGGTGTCGAAGGAACCAGTTCACGGGAGAATAACATCGGGAATAACAGAACGGATGGCAGTAGAAAAACTTCCGGACGTCACACGCGTTGAACTTCATTCGAAGGGAGCAAAATCACAAATGGCTTCGTCGTGGCATGTTTTTTTCATCCAACTCAAAGTTATTTTCACTCAACGCAAGCTTTATAGTAAGTTACTCAGCGTTGAGTAAATTTAGGCCCACCAAATTTCCTTTTTGTTTTTACTCATCTTTGGGTAATATACGTATTACTCAACCGTTGAGTTAAAATTAACCATCATAACACATTGATTTCTACCCAATGTGATACTATAACGGTTTTACTTATAATTGGGATGTTTAAACTCAAGCTTTGGGTAAGTTTCATTTTCTGTGTAGATCTTACTGAATTTTGAATGTTTAGACGTGTTCAGAATGGTGGAAAAACTCGCTGTACACGGCCAACGAGATCAAACCAAATTTGATTTTCCTTTACTCATAAATAGCAAAAAGTGCAGAAATTCAGCAATGAGTAAATTTTCCTGCTTTGTCGCGCTTTTTCAAGGAAAACATTCCAGAATATGATAACAATAACGATTGGATTTTCTCGGTCTATTGATACTACTACTATACTGAGTAAAATTTTCGTTAATTTACCTCATTTTCCAGCAGCTTATAGAGGTTTTACAACATGGGGATAATTAACTCATCGCTGAGTTCCTGCACTTTTTGTCATTAAAATTAACCGAACTATAATTTGGGTTGATCTCATCGGCCGTGCACAAATTTAAAAGGACCAAATTTAAAAGAAGATTAATAAAAAAAAAAAGTAGTCTACAAAGGTTTGAGCCTCGCGAGCGTATTACGGATATAGAGGACTGAATTTAACATTTGATAAAAAAAAATGCAATTTTGAAACTTATTTGGAAGATACCTTGAGTTAGTAGTAAGTTTTCTGGCAAATGTTGGGGGTTCGTGAGCATTCCTGACATTGCTGAAAATTATTATAGCATCATATAGATTGCGGGGTTGCTAGTGTAATAGGATGCTTTGTTGATTGTTCATTAACTTTTGATTGCTTGTAATACTTATGAATATTTTAGGTGGACAAAAAGGCGAACTAAGAGGTGGACGCCTGAGCTTTTCCACATTTATATCGTTGTGAAGCAACTGTAAACTCTAGAGGGAATTTATATCTGTTACTGAAACCAGTTCGATTTTGTTTGCCAACCTGGTTAAAATGTCATATTTAATTATCTTAAAGATAAATCGTCCAGCTCAAACCTTTGTAGGGGTAAGAGGTGGGACCATCATCATCATCATCAACTGGTCTTATTGGGATAGGGGAAATGGCTCTAATGTAGGCCTATGGATCTAAGATTGAGCGCATCGCTAATAATCTGCTATTTATCAATTTTATCTAGATGAACGCGTCATTGGGATGGTACTAATGGATATTTTTGGTCGCTATTTAAAATTTAGTCGATTACTGAATGTATGTATGGGCCCAAATAAGGGGCACTTAGGCCGACATTACATACATTTCCCCTATATTGTAAACATGAACACTCTCAGCATCAACACAATACAAATGCGTACGATTTCTTCTTCAGATGATAACGCCCAAACTAAACAATTAGCCTTCCCCTGACTTGAAAAAAACGGTTTCAAATATAGATTGGATAAGGCATCTCGAAAAAAGCTTGCCTAGATGAAACGCGTCCACAGACGCACATACAGACATCAGAAAATTTCATCTTACCGGGTCGATTTTTCATATTCAATTTGATTCCACGATGTCTTAATTAAACTGTCGAGCCAGATCAAACAGAGTTCTATCGATTGGGAATGTTTTATACAGATGAGATAGCTTGTGTGGATGGCTATCGGTCACAGACGTCTTCGTGTGAAATCCGATTCTAATACCTATGTTACGGTAGTAACAACGGTAAAACATACATGAGTTGCATAAACTTTAGATCGCGTCTAGTCAAAATATCCCGAACTGTAACATTTTGTTGTCTACCTCGAGTCCGAAGGGAATCGTATAGCTCAGGTCTGACTCCACGATGCTCAGCACAAGACCAAACAATGTAACCTGCGTAGCCTTGTCAACATGAGCATGGAGATGATCGATTATAGTCATAATCAGGTCGAGAAGCCACTTAAATCCCAGCCCCAATGTACCCTATTAGGCATAAATACGTTAGGCATAATGGACGTTAGGCATAATATACGTTAGGCATAATGGACGTTAGGCATAAAATTCCATGCTGCTGTGCAACTCTAGAAACCTGTTTCGAGCATGGTAAACAATGCTTAAATTAGGCTAAACGTTGAATAAAATATGATACAAGTTATACAAACATAGTTTATTTAATAAGCACAGTTTGAAATCCATTATTTATCATATAATAAGTGACGTAACTTCATATTTACTAAGATCTAAAATTAGTAGCGATAGCGATTAAGTAATCTGGCAATAAAAACTCAGCATAGCTTTGAACTATATCTTGAAATCAATCGCATCTAGAAATAAAAAAAATCACACATTTGTTGTAATATATTCTTACACACATATTGCAATTTTCAAAGAAGAAAAGGTATTCCTCAAAGAACAGCTCATGATATAAAGAATGGTGAATTCTGTGATTTTTTATTCAATAACAAAAAAACAACTAAGGTTGAATAAAAGATGATGCCAAAGAACAGCTCATGAAATGAAGAATGGTGAATTCTGTGGTTTTTCATTCAATGAAAAAACATACCTGCTGCTTCCAGGATTCACTCCCATACTTTTCGATACAACAATTCTGTTTTTGTTGTCATAGAACCGTCTGCTGATGTGAGGGAGCGATACTTCCATGAAAAGTGACGAGTTGCCAAAACAAACAAGGAAATGTGGCAAACGTACTATCTGCAACCCAATACTTTGCCTGTCCAAGACGTCACAAGTTTGCATGAGTTCCAAAAACTAATTCTCTTTCATTATTGTCACCGATGTCCTTCTGGAATTTATCGGGTAGATTATGCCTAACGTCCATTATGCCTAACGTCCTTTATGCCTAACGTCCATTATGCCTACCGTAAATTATGCCTAACGTCCGTATGCCTAACCTTCTTATGCCTAACGTCCGTATGCCTAACGTCCGTATGCCTAACGACCGTATGCCTAAAGTCGTGTACCCGGGTTAATATGGTAAATGAACTAAACGTAAGTCTTAGCAGCTAAAATTACAATCTAAACTTATATCCATGAGGCACAATTACTCAATTTCATTTATACTGTTATGAAACACAAAATTTATGTAGAACTAACATTGATCTCAACTGTCCTGCATCTTACAGGAAAATTATATTCTCCCAAAACCGAATATTGCGTTTTATTGCCGTCAGTGGAGAATTATAACAGTGGAAAATTCATGTTGAAACGATTTTCAACACTGGTGTTACCGATAAAAATAATTATTAAGAAGTCCCACAGCACCTAAAGAAACTGGTGGAGATCATGCCGAAGCACCTGCATCAGGTCCTGAAGGCCAAAGGAGGACACATTAATTAATAAAATACTTTTCTATTACTTTACTTTATCTTTTCTGGAGCCAAAATGAAGTGGGCAATTTTTTGTTTTAATATTCCATAAGTGAAACTTTTAAAAAATATAAAAAAATTAGATATTCAAAAAGACTAAAGTGTTCACATTAATTTGCACCAAATAAAAGAGAGGAATTCAAAACATGATGAGATGGGCACTTCATTTTGCCAATCAGTGTACATGCGTATTCCTGTGAAAACAAACAAAAACAGTTCGAAGAAACAGTCGATAAGTATCCCGTTGAGGCATGCATTCGTAAGCTAGTATAAACGAAATTAAATCTCCCCCAACACATACAAAAAAAAAATGCCACAACGGTAAACTGCTCGTTTTTGGGTCATCCCGGACTGAGCACAAATCAAGCGAACCTGTTTGCTGACTGTACGATGATGGTCCACCAGATTTGGGCACTTTGCTTAAATTGCAATCGAATGACTGCATTTCTCTGGTCCTCTCGCTCAGGTACCTCAGTGCAGTTTAAAAGTGTTCTGCTCAAGTTCCGACTATAAATAGTTAATGAACCTTTCGCTTTAGGATCAGTACGAACGTTGAAGTGTCCTCAACATGAATCCTTACATCCGATCACTGACAGGGCTAGTAGTGGTGATGCTCATTGGCATCTCCCAGCAAGTGCAGGCGCTCACCGGATTCATAGGTTCCGAGCAAAGTTACTATTTTGGAACCAGACTCGATGCTGCTAATAATTGTTTCGAACAGCAACTGCACAAAGGTACCGCACTACCTACCACCGTTTCCTTTATGGTTAGTATTGCACGAAAGACTTAAATTCCCATGTGACGTATTTAAATCCATTTATCTGTTTGTTTGTTGTTTTTTTTTCAGAATACTCCAGATATTTCCTTTATAGCAGTATCCGCGGATAAATATTCAAAAATAGGTTTTCAAGCAAATATGAAAACTGCTGCTCTTCCACAACCAGCGGTTACCCTGCAATTAGATGGACCCGTTATTTTACCCTATAACGTACTCATTCAGATGTGGTGTTGACGTATTTGTGTAGCTTGGATAAATATTCAAAATCGAGTAATTTTAATATTGAATTCGACTGGCAATAAATAAACGATGAAGACAGGGAATCGTAAGCCTAACTCCTTGCCGTAGCGGTATATCACTTCAGGTGAGATGTGTGTCAATGAAGATATGGACATTGGATATTTTCCCCAACGCTTTTAAAAAAAAACTTGAGTATTCCACCTACCGCCAACACGTGCCATATATAAGCATTTATAGCGATTTATGTGACTGAAATTTTTCAGGAACGTTCCTCATGACCAAAAATCCCATTTTGCATCTTCAGATAACCATTTTAAGGTTCTACAAAGGGTTATTAAAATTTGTATTCGTCTTCTTTTTGAAATTTTCTTCAATCATCATTGCTTTACATTCTCATATTATTAATACAAAAATTTAACACTTGTATTTCATGATTTTAGAACGAAAACTTCCTGGGTAAAACATACACCCAACCGGGGGATGTAAGATTCGCTTGCAATTATGTGTGATTCATCATCAGAGGATGTTAGTGGAGACCGCATGAACCGAGGATGCGATATACCTAGCTGCGGTCCGATGTAAGAAAATTGGAGACCGAATAATGTGGAGTGTATTAGTGAGTGAAATTAATTATGTCGAAAAAAATAGAAAAAAGGTTGCCGACTGGACTCGAACCACGGACGTTGCGATTATCAGACCTGTGCTATCTCCACTGCTCTTTCCATGCTTCTGAATATGGTTAGCCTAAAAGCAAACATGAAGCGCTCATTTTCTCGCATGCTTTTTCTGCTGGAGAGATTCGAGACAAGTGTGTGCGTCGTTCTACAATGTTCTACAATGTGCGTCGTTCTACAAGCTTACTGGTATAGTCGAAAGCGTAAATGGAACACGAAATAAAAAAAGACAAAAAACCATTACATCGCCTGCATGGTCAATTTCTAACATTCGTTGCGATGTTCATGAACAGAGGATGATAGGAAACGGAACTAACATTCATTGTAATAGATTTTTGGTTTGCGTGTAGCAATGGATTTAAGTTTATTAAAACAAGCAATTGTGAAGTTTGACTCATTAATATAGATGAGTGGATGTATTTAATGGTGAATAAAAATCAGAAACGGAGTAAATGAAACAAAAACGACCATTCTAGGCATTTTACCGGTCCAATTTGAAAAGCCACAGAAGATTGCATTCAACACTAACAGGGTTGATGGCAGCAGTGCACGTAGCCTGGTATTCGCTTTCCCGCTCAGGGGTGTAAACAAACTTGCATACAGCGAAGTCTGGCATTGTGAACGTTTTGTCTACAACATTCTTATGCACTAGATAGTGTGACATCATATTTGCTGTTGGATTGAAATGAAGGAAGAAAAGAGATGGTTAAATTTTCCTCACTATACCAGTTGATATTTATGAAACATGGGCAGTTTTGGCGTGGGGACATGCACTTCCAATGAATTTTACTCATACATTTAGAATTTGATGATCGACGAATATTTCAAAAAGAAGAAGTAAACAAATTATTGACCCTTTGTAGAACCTTAAATCGAGCCTTATTTTTGAAGAGTGCATATAGAAAAATGTTAAGCTTATCTTCAGAAAATTGTTGCTCGAAAAATGTTTGTCCAATCGGTTTGGTATCGTGGGTAATGTTGTAGGGAACATTTAAATAGAACTATTTAAAAAAAAAATGCACCCTAAAAAAATTCACATTTTTTAATTTTAAGTAAAAACATGCAAATCGTTTTTCTTAAAAATTGATTTTTTTTTTTATATATATGGTTTAGATTAAAGAGCCTGAATTTATAAAGAGACGATATGTCAAAATTGAAACAATCAATTATCTGTTAAAGTCATAGGAAAAGCTATTCCAATCGAGCAGAAGACCTGTCAAATGGATAAGGTGTCGCCTCTTTACCAAATTCAGTCTCTTTAGTTTAGATGACAATGAATACCACCGATTGCATTATAGGTCAATATGGAGTTTTTTTTTAACTCAAGTCTTACGAGAATAGTATAATTTATTTGTACATTGTTAGATTGATACAGTTGTTACAGAAATCAATACTCTACTTCTTAGTAATAAAGGGTGTATTCGATAAAAATGTCACACCGAAAATCTTCTGTAATTTTTGAACCGTATGAGTAAAAAACCTGAAAATTTGAGTAAATCTTATTCATAGTGTATTGTTTAAATCTGTCAAGTTTCATAGTTATTGATACAGTAGTTCCAGTCATGTCATCGAAGCAAGAATTCCGTGAAAAAATGTGTGCACTTACAATCAAAATCCAGAGGCGTATCGCTAAAAAGCTTGGAATTTGAAACTGTGTCTTGTTTGATAAGAACCTTCAAAAAGCGTCGGAGTGCCCGAAGGGAGTGGTCGTAAAAATAGCCAGGAAAATGGTGGTAAACAGTTCAAGAACCGTCCAAACATGTCAATTCGAGATGTCGCTAAAAAAGACCATGGTGTCAGCCGGTTTTGTGCAGAAAACAATGAAGTGTCCTGGGTTACACATGTTTTCAAGGTGCAAAAAGTCTCAAACCGAAATGAAAAGCAAAACGTCACTGTGAAAATCCGCGCCCAGAAACTTATCACGAAGCTGCTCAGTGAAGTGCATCGTGATGGATGACGAAACTTACGTCAAGACCGACTTCCGTGAACTTCCTGGACAAGAATAAGGCCTGTACTCGAAAGAAATGCACCAGACAAAAGTATTTGTCAAAAATTTATTTTAAGTCGTATTTTCTTGAAACTTTCAGGGAATGAACTAATACTTATGGATTATGTTTCGGCATAATTACTTTATTCAATTTCCTTTCCATCGCTGAAAGCCCGCACCTTTCCCTTAAGACCCCTCATTACATTTTGTGCAATGGTGGAGCCAACCTTTTTGGTCACTTTCATCCATTCTTTCTTCAACTCCAGCTCGTTCTTAAATACCTTGGACGATTTTCGAACTTTGGCCTTCATTATGGCCCAAAATCTTTCCACCGGACGAATCTCTGGTGAATTTGGGGGGTTGACGGTTTTTGGTACAAAAACAACGTTATTGTCTCTGTACCAATCCAACGTCGATCGCGCGTAATGGCATGATACCAGGTCCGACCAAAATAATGTCTCGCCTTCGTGGGACCGCAGGAAGGGCAATATACGCTTCTGGAGGCACTCGGTGCGGTAAATTTCGCTGTTGATGGTATTTATTGTGATGTACGGTTTACTGAGCTTACCACATTGGCATATGGCCTGCCAGAGCAAGTATTTTTTGGCGAATTTGTCCACTTTCTTCTTCCTTATGTCTTCCGGAACATCAAACCGTGATTTGGCAATGTAGAACTCAAGCCCCGGTATCTACTTTGCGTATGCCTGGATGTAGGTTTCATCATCCATAACCACACGCATCGGTTTCGTTAACCACTCTCGATACAGCTTCCTTGCGCGGGATTTGGCCGCCGTGTTTTGTTGATCACGCCGGTTCGGTGCCTTCCGGACCTTGAAAACACGAAGCCCAGCTCGTTTCATGGTTTGCTGAACGAACCAGGCGGAACACTTTGCCTTCAGAGCCACGTGGCGAATCAAAAGGTTCGGATTACGCTTGAAATAATCCAACACCTTCCGGGCCTTCACAGGGTCAGCTGTCTTCGATTTTTGTTTCCACGTCCAGCCCGCCGCTCGGTCGTCTGGGACTCTTTAAACGATTTCGCCACCCGAGACACAGTTGTATGGGTGATTCCCAGTTGTCTTCCGATCCATCTCATGGTCGCAGTCGGATTTTCCATGACGGTGCGCAAAATTCTCCGGCGATTTTCTTCTTGTTTCGATGACATCTCAATAACCACTGAACTGATTGTTATGAAATTTTGCACATGTAAACAATTCACTCCAAACTATTTATAGCCAGATTTTCATCAATTTTTACACACGGATAAAAAAGTTACACACGGATAAAAATGGTGCATTTTTTTCGAGTACTAGCCTTACTTCGTTGCCAAGTCTAAGTTCAATGCTCCGGAGGATGATCGAAAGAAGAAATTATCGAAATTTGCAAAGTAGTTCCTGATCTGGCAGGCGTTTGGCGAATGTGGTGAAATAAGCGCTCCCTTCATCACTTCCGGAATAATCAATGGTGCGATTTATACGGAAGAGTGCTTAAAAAGCGTCTCTTGCCATTCATAAGGAAGCACACAGGATCAACTCTGTTTTGGCCTGATCTAGCATCCTGTCACTACGCTCGAAACGTGTTGGAGTGGTACCGCGCCAACGGAGTCAATTTCGTGCCATATCTACCCACCAAATTAACCGGAACTTCGCTCAATTGAAAAATTCTAGGCAATTATGAAGACGGAACTTCGCAGACATCCCAAAAGTATTAAAACAGAGTTGGAGTTTGGGCAAAAACAACAAAAACACTGAAAAAATCGGTTGTACAAAATTTGATGGGCGGAGTGAAAAGGAAGGTGCCATTCGGTATGGGGGACAAAATTGAATAAAACAAATTTTGTAAATCATAACACATTATTGGTTGTTCATTCCCTGAAAATTTCAAAAAAATCCGATTAAAGTTTTAATTTTGGTGAGTGTGTGCCATTTTTATCGAATTCACCCTTTATCAACAATTTTCTTTTCATTGTTACAGTTTGAAAACTGTCTGACTTCTAATTGTCTTTCAGAAATCGTATAGTTCCTTTGCATTTTTGATCGGATGTTCACGTTCTCTAGCTAGACAAGCTCTGGTAGCCATACGTTTCAGCATTACAAACATATTTTTTTATCTAGCTCGTTTATTTGGAAGGCTCAATCGCGTTAGCTTCACGGAGTCGATTATTACAGTGATTCCACGCAGGACCGGTGATTCAGGAGGATTTCCGAGCGATTATCATCCGTGGACGAACTAGACAGATCATGGCTGTTGCTGATGAGGGAAAAATGTTCCGGCAAATTTGGTCTTGCCTTACAGATCTTCGATTCTTAAGTATATTCTGGCGTGCTTCACCC